TCCCCTTGGCCTCGCTGGCCACCCTGCTCCTGCCCAGCTTAGTGACATTCGGAGTTGACTGTCCCTCCGCTGCCTCCTATGTTCTGGGCCCACGGCTTGCAGGTCAGCCTGGAGGCTTAGGGACTCCAGGTTCCTCCCCACTAATCCTGCTGACACCACCTGTCCAGGTGTATCGCCTCCCATCCCCACTCTCCAGGCCCCATGCCTGGCATTCAAGGCCACGCACCCCTGGCCCCTTGTCCTATCCCTCCCCTCCCTGGGCCCCTCTTGAATCCGTGCACACTCCAGCTTCTCTCGGGGACTCACCAGTCCCCCAACTTCCTCCCCCAGCTCCCCGCCCCCGCCTCAGGTCATAGTCTGTCACCTCCTTCTTCATAGCCCTTCACCACCACCTGACCTGGCACTGAATACTGACCTAGTATCACCTGTGTCCCCACCTGTGGGGCAGGGACCACGCCCCAGCGCCTGGAGCAGCGCTGGGCACACACGGGGTGCTCAGTCAATGCCTGGCTATCAGCAAACCCTCCCCACCCCCGAGGATCTTTCCCAGATTCCCTCCCCCACGACCCTGGGCATCCCTTCTCTGAATATTCAACCACGCTGCCCGTTTCTCAGACTCTTTCTGGTCAGCTGACGGAGCGCTCTAGCCCCCTGGAGTCTCAGGTGTGGCTGCCGGGCCTGGTGGCTCCTTAGTGGCCTGCACACTGGCTGGGGGGGTCTCCCTGGACAACAGCCGCTGGCCCTCCCCCCGGGGTTCTTCCCGCCCCTCAGTTCTGGTGGCTCTTTGGCTGCCCCCAAAGGGGAAAAGTACATTGAAATGGGAAATTCAGACAATTAAAAAGGATATTTAAAAAGTCATGGACACAGCCAGTTAATCAATTAATTTTTTTCAAGTTTCCCTTCTCCCCTGTTAAGAATATTAGAAAAGCAAATCTTTAAAAATACCATTCTTGCCAGCCTGGAACAGAAAATACTTCAAGCAATTCAAAACAAGGGGGATAGCAGAGCTGGGTGACTCAGTCTCCTTAGGAGGAGCTTTTTCCCCTTTTTTTTTTAAAGGGGAGAATCACATCATTTTCATTAACCTCGAATCAAACATTAGCAGTTTCTTCACGTGTGCATGTAGATAAGGAAACCCTGTGATGTTATCGCAGAAGTCCTTGCGATTTTGACGATTCGTAAACCTCAGGTACTTTTACTTCCATTGCTGCGTCGTAGCTGTCACGACGCTCGTCACGGCACTGAGCTTACAGCGGACGTGGCATCTGCTCCTGGGATGTGATTTAACGCATAGAAAGTACACGTGGTACACCACAATTTTAAAAATCTTTTGGTACCCGTGCGTAAATACAATTGCCTTCATTCGCGACCCCAGGTGTACCTTGTACATTCCTGTTATTCTGAGGAGCCCACGGGCTCCAGCAAACTGTCACAGGACCCAGGGCCTGAAAAGCGTGGAGCCGTGCACGCTCGCTCCACGGCCTCTACTCCCGCTCAGACGTAATCACACACGGTGAGTGCTGCCAACAGGACTAGGCATTTTTTCACATTAAAAAAAAAGTTGTGATGGAACATACATAGCGAAATGTGCCATCCTATTTTTCTGTGGTTCATGACCGCTCAGCAGTGTCATTAAGCACATTCACATTGTGCGAGCAATCAAGGATGAGCTAGCTCTTCACTGGAAATGACTGGGCCTTAGAAAAGGAAAGCTTTGTTTACATGTCAATGACACCTCCATTCCGCTGACATTTTGTTTTAAAAAGACGACTTAGATGGAGCGTAAATATGTGGAACAGTGAGGATTTTAGGGAAATGGACACCCAATAGCAGTTAAGGCCTGTTTGGCCCATATATTCCAAACGTGGCTCTGAGGGCCGCATCAAGGGGCGACAGCCCATTTCTCTGCACTCGAAGCGCGGTCGCCGGTGCGCGCCCCCTCTTCCTGCCACGGCTGATGCTGCTCCCTGTCGCCCGTGCTGTTTCAGTGGCGCGAGGGCACACCTGCGGGCGGGCGGGACTGAGCACCGGCCTCAGCGCCGGCCCGGCCCGTCTGCCCTCCCCGAGCCTCAGTTCCCTCCTGTCTGAAACCAAGGTCATCATGAAGGTTAAATGAGACAAACCCTTCGCAGACATAGCGATCGCTGGGCACTCCCGGTCACTGCCTTCCCCTCTCAAATTCAGGTCATTTTTTATTGTTTAGGATGCGACCACTTTAATCTATTTTATGTAAAAGCAAATTTTATTACAGCATAAATCATGGATCAAACCCAGTTTCCCTCATGCCAGGAAATGAATCATTAGGAGATGTAATTGCTTTTGGTGTGCACATCACTGCATTCCATCCTCCGCCGCAGGCTCCTCATTGAACTCTTCGTAAAATTGAAGCTGGTTTTGATGCAGTCACTGCTGGACAAATTTTCATTTATTTTTTTTTTACGTTGACTGTAAACACAGCATGAAGCCCATTCCACCCTCCTCCACCAGCCGCAGCCATCCGTGCCAGGAGAGAGATGCGGCCCTTTCTCTCACACAGGAAGTACGAGCACACCGGGCTCTGGGGAGTCGGCGGCGGGTCTCTCCGCGTGCGGCTGGCGGAGACGGAAGGAAAGGTGTCCGAGCTCAGGGACAGCTCAGAAAGACAGGGAGGTTGAGAATGGAAGACGGTCAAGAGAGGTTCGCAGGACAGGAGGCTCAGCCCTGAGGCGGCCACAGGGAAGGAAGCAAGAGGCTCCCTAAGTCTCGCTCTTGTCCCCGTAGACGGGGAGGGAGCAGAGCGAGAGCAGGAAGGTGGCCCAGTTGGGTGGTGCTAGAGTGGTTTGGACCAAAATCAATCCATCAATCAATCAAAATAAAAAATAAATAAAGAGGAGAGCCAACGGAGAAAGCCCGCCGTCTGTTTACAGCTGGCCGTGGGGACCTGGCGATAAAGATGCCGCCGAGCCGGTGGCGCCTCCTCTGCGGCGACTGCCTGAGCGTGGACCCAACTGCCCTCTCCTCAGGGAATCAGCTTTTCCTTTTTCCCAACTAAACCTTCCCCTGCAATACCGATTATCAAAAACACCTGCCAATACCAAAACCTTACATGCAAATTGTTACCATCATCAATGTCAGAATCCACTTCGGTAAAGGACTGGACATGTTGACTGAGCTCCTTGGACTGGTCTAGGGCACACTCAGTGAAAATATCAAAGCCACTCCCATTCATACCGGTCCTGGGCAGTTCTGGACTTGGCAGTCCCCGAAAAGGGCTCGACTGAGCTTTCTGAACCTCTGCCCGACACACCTCAGACGGCATAGGGATGTTTCCCTTTTAAAGCAAAGCCGACTCCCCTCCGGCTTCGGCATCGCTGTCCCCATCCCCTTGTCGCACGTGAGATGAACAGTGACGCCTGTAACTTCCAGCCCTCCCAGCCCCCGCCCCGACGAGGCTTCCTTGTTTTATTTAAACTTTGGTTGGTATGAGAAAAAAAAACACACACACAAATATCCAAATAAAGTTTACTGCAACTTTTGTAGAATTTAATTTGTGCTACAAGACATGTTGCATAGGAAACTATTTTAAGCCCCTGAGGAAAAATATCCATGGTTTAAGGTGCAACTGGTTTTGTTTCTTCTTTGGGGAGAAGGTGAGAGAGGGTCTCGGAAGAATGAAGGCGGATCGTCGGAAAGCGGAATTTAAGGTTATCTCGTGGGATGATTGGGGAATTGTGTTCTTGCAGCATAAAATATGTAGTGTTTTTTTTTTTTTGTTATCTTTTTTTCTAGCCAGTTGATCTTCAGGATCTGGATCAATAGATACTTAAGAATGTTTCAGCCCAACAAGGGATTGTACATTGATTATGCTGAGTGATTCATGAGTCTCAGGAAAGCCGATTTGGAGAATGAGCTTCGGGATCCACGTGTGTCCTGGCCCAGCTCGGCGGGGCCGCCAGGGTGGACAGTGTTTCTTCCGTCGAGCCCGACTCCCTCGTGAGGCGCCACAAGGGCATCGCCATCGTGGGTTCAACACGGCCACTCGATCTGCAACTGGAACAACGATCGGTGTGACCTGCCGCCAGGTCCCCGATTTTATGTGGGAGGCGCTTCCGTTTGCAGGCCATGTCCACCCTGCGCAGGCAATCTTTACATTGTACATGAACACTGTTTCCCCATGTGCTTCGCTTCCAAGGAGACGTGGGCTTGCCAGGAAGGGAGGGGTCGCATCGGGATGAAATGAAGTGGAGGGTTTGGCAAACGGCAGCAGGCACCTTGCACAGGGGATCCTGGGTGGCAATGTTTCCTTCAGGACCATGGTGGGGGGGCAGTTTGGTGGGGACCACCTCACTCGCGCCTCGGGCTGCTCTCTGGGACAGGCAGGAGCCCTGAGGACGCCTGCTCCCTTAGCTCAAGGGTGCCGATCGGTCACTCACGTCGGACTCAACTGCCCACAAAATGGTTCACGTGCACCGCGGCCGCTCCTTTACTGCACCAGGAGGCAAAGGTACAGGAGATAAAAAAAAAGAGGGACCGGGATGTTCTCAGAAAGGATGGGCGTGAGCTACACTCATTCACTGAAAAGCCACGGTTCCTATTTGATTTACATTGTTTTACAAACACGGAGTGAAACGAGGTCCAACACGCGAACAAACGCCTTCTGCGCTAGGTGCTGAAATGCGAGTGTGTCTCGGACGGAGCAGTGTCCCGGCGACTTTTAAATACATATGCACACCTGTAACATAACTTAAAAAGGTCTGTAGGGAACACAGAAACCTCAACAGCATCTGCCCCATCAAGTATTTTTTTTTAACCTTTGTGGTCCATTAAAAAAATTAGATACCACCTTTCTCATACGTCCCCCCTCCTCCCCATACTTTAAAAAGGGATTTTAAATTTAAATTTGTACTCAACAAATAGAAAGCTATTTGATTGGCAACAACCTGCGGTTGGAATTCCCTTCAGGCCCCCCCATGAAGGAGGCGGGGGCGGGGGGGTGGCATTCGTGTGCTTGGTCCTGGGGCGCGGGCCCGCCCGGAGCCGGCCCAGGGCAACCCTCACCTGCCCGGGCAGCTGGCCCTCCCCCTCCCTGCAAACGTGACCGCACGGGCGTCGGGGCAGACGGGGGCACGAGCCCCAGCGCAGCGGCCGGCCAGGGCAGCCCGCTCAGATCACAAAGTCGTCCTGGTCGGCGGGACTGAAGGCAGCCGCCCGCAGGACGTCCAGGGAGTTCACCAGGATGAGCGTCCCCGTGAGGTGCTTCCAGCGCTTGGTGATGGGGTTCTTCATCCTGTCCAGCCCGGTGTGCAGCTCCTGGATGACGTCGCGGTAGCTGTCTCCGATCTGGTGGCTCCAAGTCAGTAAGAAGTCATACGCGGGCTTCCACATGGCCTGCAGGGGGAGCCGTCCGAACGAAAGGAGCGGGGAGAGACAAAGGTGAGGAGGGACGGGAGGACTCTTGACCCTGTCCCCAGCCGCAGCTCCCCTGCGCGCTATTTAGGCTACCCTGGCCGCTGGGCTGTCTCTGTCCCCCGGGGCCAGCACACTTCAGAGGGAACAGCGCCTTCTGTGTGACAGTGGGGATGCAGCACTTTCTCTCGGGGCCATTTATTGAGAAATTCACCGTGTTAATAAAGGACCCCCTTAGGCTGGGGACTTCCTGCTTTCCAGGTCTCCAGAAGCTGAAAGCGACCCCCCCAAACACGGGAGAGAACAGTGTCTGAGCAGGAACCCAGCAGCGCCAGCCCACGTGACACCGCCTGCCAGGCCTTCGTGAGGCAGGGACCTGAGGAGAGACCCGGCTAGACCGGGAAGTGTCGCCAGCACACGCCACTCACTCTGACGGAAGGTAAGTCAAGGCGGGGATTCGCAAGCGAGGGGCGGTTGTGCCGTCCCACGCCACGGCAGCGGCCGTGCCCACGCCAGGGAGGGAGTCGCCACTCAACACTGGAAGGAGGATGAGACCCACCCCCACTCAGTGAGGACCTACTGCGTGCTGGGCACACGCTGTCACGCGCTCTCTCATTTTGTCCTCCTAAAAGCGCCATGAAAGACAGGGCCACGCCTGCATCCGACAGGCTGAGACGCGCTGCCCAGCTCACCTCGCTGTCCACGACCCCATTCCTGTCCCGGTGGGGAGACTCGTACGCGTCCATCTGCTGCTTGGACACCTTGGCGAGCTTCTCCGCCAGCTCCCTCCAGCGCTGCGCCACCTCGACGGCCGTGGTCAGGAGCACGAAGTCCTGGATGAGTCTGACCACCAGGCCCTGGCAGTCCATCTTCAGTAGGGCCTGCAGGCGAGGAGCAGGGCGTGAGGCGGGGCCGCTCTGAGGCCCCACACCGCCGCCGTGACTCCCAGCACGGGGCAGAATCGCTGATTTGTCACGCGGGGTGGACGTGCACCTAGAACCCCAGCCTGTGCCCAAAGTTGGAAATAGTCTTTGCAGGTATGATGAGGTAAAATGAGGTCATACTGGATTGGAGTGGGCCCCTCAGCCAATGCCTGGTGTCCTTACAAGACTAGAAAGAGAGACACAGGGACAGAGAGAAGTGCTGAGATGGCAGCAGAGACAGGGTGATGCAGCCACGTCACTGGAGCAACCAGGAGCCAGGGCAGAGGCGCGGACGCAGCCTCCCGCAGAGCTGCCGGGGGAACCAACGCTGCCGACAGCTCCAGAAACGCGAGGGAATAAACTGGCAGGTTTTTTTTTAATCCTCACCCAAGGACATCTTTTCATTGCTTTCAGAGACAGAGGAAGGGAGAAGGAGAGACATCGATGCGAGAGAGAAGCATCAACCGGCTGCCTCTTGCATGTGCCCTGATAGAGAGTGAAACACATGACCTTGTGGTTCGAGGGTGACGCACCAACCCACTGAGCCACCCGGCCAGGGCTACGCTGGCACTTTTGAGTCTCCACTTTGGGGCACTTTGTCGCGGCAGCCCCAGGACAGTGACCCCCATGGTGGGCGTGGACGTCAGATGCTCATCCTGCTCCCACTCCCGCTGGGGCAAGTGAGAGCAGGCGCCGCCCTAGGCCAAGACCGACAGCAAGGCCTGGGGTTCTGGGTGTGCGTTTTCCAGAATCAGCAGGACTGCCAGGCCTTGTCCAAGCGGAAGGAACTTGCTGCGTGTCCTCAGGACAGAGAGGGCTATGAAGGGACTCGGAGGGACAGGCATGCCCAGCACCCCGGGAAGGAGGCAATGGGACAGACCCGGCTCATGTCCCTGCTGGGCCCTGACAAGCACGGGGCCACCTTGCAGCTCAAGTCCCTTCTAGGAAAGGGTTGGATGAGGCAGGTTGTCCGACACGGGGCTCCATGGCCCAATGTACCCGTGTGGCCCCAGCATTTCTGGTTTCAAGCAACAAAACAAGACCCGCCACAGCAAGCCAGCAGGCTCGCTGGCCTGCCTCTGGCGGGACACATGTGGCTCGCCACCCCGTGTCACACAGGTCTGGCTCAGTCCTGCTTATGACGGGAATCACAGCCTGGCTTTGAGAGGCCAGGACGACATCACCTGATGGGACCCCTGGATCGGGAGGGGTGTGCCAGGCCCTCTCCAGTGCCACGAGGGCACCCCGAGCTTAGAGCCTCTCCGCTGCCCACACACTGTCCCCAGCGCCCCAACAACAGAGGAGGACTTGAGTCCCTGGGAAGCCGGCCCGGGAGCCCCCTGGAGATGGCTTCCCAGACTCCCTCGGGCCCACGTCTGACGGCTCCTCCTCCGCGTCCGGCGGACCATCCTGCCAGGAGCACGGCCTGGACCGCAGCCTGTGCATGAGTGCCCTTCAGGGCGCCGGCCCCGCGAACCGGGAGCCATCGTCTCTTAGGCTGGAAGCCTCTTGTTCAAGGAGAACGCTTCGAGTTCTTAGCAAGCCGGGCTCCTCGGAGCTCTGTCTGCGCCCCTCCCAGCGCGCGCGCGTGCATGCACACACACACATACACACACACACACACGTGTGCGCACACACAGTCTCTCATCTCTCGTGAGGGGGCGACCGCCCGACTCCACAAGGGACGACAGCCTGAGCCGAGCCCTCTCCTTCCCTCGGGGCCGCGGCCGTCACGGGACGAACGCACACCGGTACCTGTTCTCCACCCGGACCTTCAAACGCCCTCGGAAAAGCTTTTCCAAGACCCACAACGTGTATGGGAAGAAGCATTAAAGGACTTATATGCCCTGAAAACAAAGTATAGACTTTGTTGTTTTCTCCTCTTCATAAAACAAAACAGAAACTCCGACACTGAGACAGGGCTTACAGGCGCGAGGAGGGTGTGCGTGCACCAACGGGGCCTCCCTGTCCCCGCACCTGACACCCGCAGGACTTCCCAGTGATTTCCGGTCACTCTGGAGCCCTCTCCTTTCAACGGTCAGGGGCCCCAGGGACACTGGGCCCCCTGCTGGGCGGCCCGGCACCACCCCTCCCCCCGACTTGCAATACAGTCTGGGGGCGTCACTGAAGCTGGATGATCACAGGCATGGCTTCTGCTAGAGAGTGGAGTGGGTTGGGCACAGAAAGGTCATTCCCTGTGGTCACAAACCGTGGGGGTGACAAAGGGCAGGCAGAACACCCCAGGAGGTCCCTGTGGTTATACCAGGTGCCCCCTCCCGACCAGCTGACCTGGAAAACAGGCACTAAAACTGCCAATAGAGGGAACGGAGCCAGAGGACGGAAGCACGGTCTGACCTCAGGAGATTGCGGAGGTTGGATTCTTGGCAGGCGTTCGTTCCCCTACCAAACATCTGAGAGCCCAGGACGTGCCCGGCCCCTTCTCTCGTGGGCTTTGTACTCAATTAGGGCAGTAGCAAGACTCATGAACCCAAGTCAACAAGGCCGTTTCAGATTCTAGGAAGCAGCACTCAGACGACATTAAGGGACGATGAGGTGCAGCGTCCCAGGAACACACAGTGGCTTTATCAAGCGTTGCAGGAAAGGCCTCCCAAGGGGGGGTTTCAGCTGGCGCCTGAAGGAGGAGAAAAGCCAGCCACAGGGGACTGGGGGGCAGAGAATTCCAGGCAGAGGAAGCGGCGCGTGGAAAGCCTGAGGCTCCAGGAGCGAGCCAGGCGCGTGCAAGGGACAGCGAAAGGGCTGGAGTGGCCGGTGGGCAGGGAGCATGCATGGTCCCCAGCGATGGGGCGGGGGGCGGAGGATCGGCCTGGACTCTGAGCGCAGGGGACAGATGGACCTGTTTCCTTCCCATCTCCCCCTAAGTCTGCTGTCCAAACACTTTCCCCATTTCATCACGCTCTCCGAACCCAGGGCTCGTTAGTGAACAGAGAACCATCTGCAAGCGGAGAGCGGTGGGGAGGGCGAGGCCTGGCTTCCAGTCAGTCCTTGGTTGGCGCTGGAGGAACCCTGGCTGCTCAGTGATTTCTGAGTCCCTGTAAATCAAACACCTGGTTTCCAGAAACTCCTCAAACACGCCGGGATAAGCCGGTCGGCGGTTTCTAGAAGTCTGGCCAACCACTCAGATGGATGGCTCAGCGATGAGGAGCAGATAGTGAAGGAGTCAAGAGGAAACGTGGCAAAGCCGGTTTCACTCACCAGCCCCGTCTCCCCCGGGGCACCTTCCCGCCAGGGTCGGTCTGAGTTTCGCTTCTGCCTCCCGGGGGGCTCTGGGAGCCCTGGGGGCGTGGGGCTGGGGGAGGGCCACAGGGTCCCACACGCCCAGACCCCCACCTCACACAGACTCGCCTAAGCAGGCCAGGCGAAAAATCTACTCTGGGTTTCCCAAGTTGAAAACAAACAAAAAAGGAGTGATCACTAAGCCTTCTGAAAAGAAATGAGGAAATGAGATAAAAGCCACCTCTCCTCAGAGGTTTCCCACAGCCCGGAAGGGGCTGCGCCGGGGTGGGGGGGGGGGGCGTCCTTGTTCGCCTCTGCCCACTCCCGGGGAGCGGCTGCCGCAGCTGCGAGGGCACGACCGTCCGGCTCACGCTCCAGGAAAGCACGCGATTCCATCACCGGCGGAGAATTCTAGCCCCAGGCTGGTGGGAGGCGGCTCAGCCCCTCGCTGTGTGGGGTCCCCCAAGGAGGCAGGCGGGGCGTGGCCTCACAGGTGGGCCAGGGGGCTGTGCCCGAAGGGACCGGAGGCATCCCCGAGCGGGACCACACCTGGTGCCGGGGAGCTTCCCTGTGGCCCTGCTCACCCCCCAGCCATGACAATCCCGTGTCCTTGCCACTAAACCTGCCCACGCCCCCTGATCCCCTAGTTGCCAAGGTCACCCCTCGACCCGCCATTTCCAGCTCCTGGCTCCCTCCTCGGGGCAAGGCCAGCCTCCCAGGTGTCTAGCACTTTATACCTCCGTGGGCTGCAGTCAGGGCCTTGCTGTACGCCCGTCCCTGCAGCAGAGCCCGGGCCACGGTGGACCCTGTCCCTGCTGTCCCTGCTGTCCCTGGCTCCAGGGGGTGGCAGAGAGTTGGCTGTGCCACCAATGACCCTCAGGTGCACGCCCATGTCCTCACAGGCCCCTTAGACACACATGGCCACACCTGTTCCGAGAGGTGCAGGGTGGCAGGTGCTGGGGGAGGGGGCGGCAGGCGGAGGAGCAGAAGTGGCAGAAATGCCAGGGGTGCTGAGTCACACCTCACCGAAGTCAGGAGGCAGGAGAGGCTCTCTGGAGTCTGGAACGAGGGAGGGAAGCATGCGACCAAGGCACCCAGGTGATCCCATAGGACACCATGCTGGGAGGACGGGGGAGGGGGCCGCCCTGACGTGGGACCCTTTTCCACGTCGGCCCTGGGACCCCCACCTACAACTCCGAGCAGCGCCCGGCCCGCTGGAGCCACCAGCGGTGGGTGAATGCTTCCTGGGGGCCGGGTGTACCCTGCAGTGTGCCACCCACTTCCCCCTGTTAATTCTCTGGATTCCAGTTCTCGGCTGTCCTGGCAAAACAGGCTGTTCTGGCCCCGCCTCAAAGGCACATGTGAAGGAGGGAGAGGAGGCAACACAGAGACCGGGTGGAACCTTCCAGTGAGACGTGGAGAGATAAACCCGCCAAAATAAAGCCAGGCTAGGGGACCACGGTTCTTAACATGTGAGTCACAGGTACCCTTCAGAGTCTGATGCAACAGACCCTCGCCTAAGAGATCTAAAGGGAGGTGGTTGGAGCGTAGGCCCCCGGGCGCCCCCACCCTGCTGAGCTCCCAGGGGTGCATTCCAAGACCTCGAAGGGGCCCCAGAGTCTGCGGGAAAAGGGTCCTGAACAACCTTTGCCCTGTGGCTCCTGAGCTGTTTGGGCAACCCCCGCCCCAGGTCCCACGTGAACGCCTTTCTCCACATGTAAAACCCGGTCCCTGCCATCTGGGGAGCAGAGAGGAGCCCAGACACCGCTCGGACGGTGTCAGGAAAAGGCCGAGTGCCGCCCTCCCGCCCCCAGCCCCGGGCCCGCTGGGCGCTCACCATCATGAGCTCCTTCTGGAAGGACTTCCGGTCTTTGTTCTCTGCGTTGTTACAGTCCTCCTTCAGCTTCTCCAGGACGGAGGCCACCCGCTCGGGCTCGCTGTCCAGCTCTGCGCGGCAGAAGAAGGTGAGCGGCAGGTTCTCGTAGCCCAGGGCGTCGGCGAAGGCGCGCCAGCTGCTGATGTTCTCCATGAGCAGCGTCCTGACGGAGGCGTAGATATAGGTGAGGAACTTGCAAGGCCGCAGGATCTGCTCCAGCAGAAGCGAGGTGCTCAGCTCGGGTCCCGAGAGGATGCCGGGCCGCGCCCTGCCCACCACCAGCACGTTCTTGGTGTGCACCAGGCCGACCTTGCCCTGGTGGAAGCCGATGTACCACTCCTTGGTCCGCAGCTGCCCCTTCAGCCGGATCTTCTCCTCGCTGAGCAGGGCAACAGCATCCCCCTTCTTGTACTCCAGCAGGTAGTGGTTCTTGCTCTGCCGGACCACGGTCTTGAGCAGCTTGCCGAACTTGAGGCTGGACACGGGGCGGTCCTGAAAAGTGGGGTACTTGGTGGTGGCAGCAAACGGGGACAAAATGATTTTGCCGACTTCGTTCTTCTTGAGAAACCGCCTCTGCCCGGACGGCTTGATGGCACTTTTGGGGGGCGGCTGGGGGGTCTGGACGCAAAACTGGGTCAGGATGGCCTGCTGGTCGTCCTTCACCTGCACCCTCAGGGTGAAGTCCGAGAGCTCGCCAGCGCTCTGGCAGGTGATGGGGAAGATGAGGCGGCTCACCTTGCCCAGCTTCATCTGGAAGCCCCGCACCACCCTGGCCTGCTCGCTGGCCTGGACCTCGTAGTTCGTCACGTTGGAGAACATGCAGACCTGGAGGTCCTGGGGCCTGGACAACACAAACTGGTGCCTGCCCCAGAGCTGCAGGGCCACCGGGGCGGGGCTGGGGGCCTGGCGGGTGACCTCGCTGACCAGGAGAGTCTTTGGGGCACAGTCATGCCCGAAAATGGTCACCACCGTCTTGAAGGACGGGTGGATGTGTTTGGGGCCGTAGAGACCCACTGTGACCTTTTTGTTGATGAAGTCCCACACGGTGGACGGGTAGAGGATGTTGGGCCCCCGGGCCACGATGACCAGGTACATGCAGGGCTCCAGGTTGTCCAGGTGCACCTGGACCGTGTCCCCGTAGCTGTAGGTGAGGGGGATGGGGACGTAGGGCCCTTCCTTGAGGTCGCTCCTCAGGCACTGGAGGCCCACTGTGCTTTTGCTGAAAATGTCGTTTTTCACCTCAGCCGACACTTTCATCTCCAGGACGATGACGGTTTTCACCTCCAAGGTGCTCAGCTTCACCTCCAGCACCGGGCTGATGCTGCAGCACCTGTCGCTGTTCAGTTCCAAGGGGGGGTCCAGCAGCGCTTTCATGGAGATCTGCTGGGTCTCCCCGGGGGCCACGTGGCCCTCAGGCACGTGGATGCTGATGCTAGTGTCGGGAAGCTGCACGGAGCCCCCGGAACCGTCCAGCTTGCACACGATGTTCGTCTCCACCGCCTGGGTCTGGCCCCACCCGGGGCTTTGGCCCAGCAAGTCCAAGTCGTGGCAGGACCGCGCCAGCTTCCGGTGGCTCAGCCAGGCCGCGCGGAAGTCCTCCCGGCTCTGGAACTGCTCAGGGGCCGGGGACTTCAGGCCCGTGAAAAACCCCGACGAGGCGGGCGCGTCGGACTTGGCCTGGAGGACGGAGAGCTCCGACAGGCTGTAGGAGCGTTTGCTTCTGAAGAACGGGTTGTCCCGCCTGATGGGCCCTTCGGGGGGGACCTGGTTGGTGGCCGGCGGCTCATCGAAGATGCTGCCGGTGCCGTTCGTGGCGGCCGAGCTGGAGTCGGGGAAGGAGGAAGAGCCCGTGTCGAAGAGCAGCAAGTCCACGGTGCTTTTGGGCGCCGGCTCATCTGCGCCGGGCACCGCCGGCACGTGCCCATTCAGAAAGGGGTTGGTTTGGGCCCCGTTCCAGAAAGGGTTATTGCTGTAGGTTTTGCCCAGTCCCTTCTTGTCACCCGTCCATCCTCCAAGCAAATCGAACTCCTTGGCTCCTTCGTCTGGGCTGTCGGGAAGGTGGTCGATCATCCCGCTGTCACTCAGGGTGGAGTTCCGGTAGCTCAAGGGCTGCACGTAGGAGGAGGGGATGTAGCCCATCTCCGTGGTGTTGTGCGCGTACCACCACTCCCCGCCGGACGTATCCAAGACGTAGAGGTGGTCGCCCTTGGAGAACTTCAGGGTGGTGAAGTTGTTGGGGCAGTAGTCCTTGATGGCGATCACTTCCTTCGCGTTTCCAAAAGGCGTGGGATTGTCTCCTAGCAAGGCACTGGGGGAAGGCACTGCAAGAGACACACAGGACAGAGGGTGAGGCCGAGGCCGGGGGGCTGCCGGGTGCTGCCCGAACTAGGGACACGGGCCCGAGAAACACCCGCCGCCAGGTGTGGACCGTGAGCCTGGCGCGTAACTCGCGGCGGCGAAGCAGAGCGGAACCTGGCGTGTGACGGACACGTGGAAGAGCGCACCGTGGTTTTTACCACACCTGGCCACGTCCAAGTTTGACGCACACTGTCCGGCGAGGCCCTCACGGCAGCCTCCGCACCGCGCACAGAGAAATGCACGTCAGCACAGTGAAACAGTCACCGCGTCCCCGTGTATCCAACGCCTCGTCTGGATCGAACTGCTCTTTATCTGACTGACTGACCAGAACTGCCGCTGCGCAGTGAAGCGCCGCAGGGCAGGCTGCCCCGCAACGCACCCCTTTGGCACGTGGATTATTTCGATCTGAAGACAATCGAGGCCCCGAAGACTCAGGAAGAGCTTCCTTACTTGCTTACAAGAATTTAGACAGAGGGCCTGTTCCGGGAAGAGAGCTCGCACCAGGGCGACGACACAGGGAATGGGCCGGGCGTGGCGGGCCGGGGGGGGCTCCCAGGGCTCGGAGACCACACACGTGTCCCCCTGTCTTTGCAGGGCGGTGGCGGGGGGTGTGTGTGTACATTTGTCTATCAGCCATGGGTCTTCCCATCTCCTTGCAAATTGTCTCCCTCTGAAGCCCGACGCCCGCCCCCTTCTTACCTCGCCATGGCACGTACTCTTTTTGCCTGACTGCCTGGTCTCGTGGTCTTAGGGGGGCCTGTGTATGTCATTAAATTTTCCTCCCGTCGATGTCTTATGCCCATTTAATGATTAGACCAGCCTCAGAACCCGAAGGGCAGGGGGAAAAAATCATCCTCCCCCAAAGTAGGGAGAGACACTCAATGGGATTTCCTTAGAAACCACAGAGGTGTTCCGAGTTCGGTAACCCCATGGCTAGTGGCCGGGCCCTGGAAAAACCTCCGAAGGGCCCCTCACGTGCAGGGGCGGAGTCCACACTCTGCCAGCCACACAGAAGGCGCGCCCTCCACAGGCCTGTCTCTCCACCTTCAAGTTGAGTCCGCCCTTCATCTAACTCTTTATGTGACACGGGATTTTTCAGGCCAGTCTCTCTTGTTCAGCCTCCTCGAACGGATCATTCAAAATAACAGCCTGGAAACAGCCTCTCCCGCCTACCATAAAAATCAAAGGTCTACGACGGGCTGAGTTCACGTGCCTTCTGAACCACGGTTTCGGCAGTCCGAACAAAATCCCAACCCGTGAAACAATGACTCAGCGCATTCGCGGCTCTCGACATGGAACTACGAGTGGTACCACGATGAACAACGGGGAGGGCCAAACAAAGTCATCTAAACAAGCGGCTTTGAACAATAACAGGTAATTTCATATCTAGAAGTTTTATCTGCCTCCCCTACACGACAGTGCGCACTCAGAGTGCGACATTCCTTCTGATGGAAATAAGCCTCACCCCCACCCGAACAGGCCTTGTTTTACAGTTTGCTCAGACTCCGCCTGCCTGGAACACGCAACAGAGAGAAAGGAAGCCTTTTTTTATACGCTGCCGTTGTAAACGAGCCACGGACGGGCTCCCCTTCTAGTTGCACCACAGTAACGTGTGATTAAATCAACAGGCGCTGTTCCTCCAGGGGCCTCCAGGGGCCCCCAGAGAGCCCACTTCCCACCCCGTTTCCCTTTCCCTCGAAAGGAAGTAACGAGCCTCTATTGCCTTTCCTCGGCAGAGTCTGCAGCAGGAAGTGTCGGCGCACCTGTGCGAGCGGGGTAACAGGGGCCGGTACGCACCCCTGGCCCCGAAGACTGTTACCCACACTGCCCCCCGTCCCGGGGCTGCAGGGAGCCTGGCTCTCGGGCCCCAGACCTGGGCTTTCAGGCCAGGCCCTCAGACCCCAGGGCCTGAGATTCTGTGACGCAGACAACGCCTCCTTCTTCAACGGGCTCTGGTGGGGATTAAAGGAAAGCGTGCTGAGAAAGAGTTGAGTGTAACGATCGTTTCGTTACCGTCGACACCTGCATCCCAGCCCCTGTCACCAACCACTATAGCAGGCACCTCACATATGTTTAGTTTGGGGGCGGGGAGGGCTCCAGTGCCCCATTAGGGTAGAAGCTCCAACACGTAGCAGGTGCTCAATAAATAAATATGCACTGAATTACGTATGGATCATCTCTTCTTGTCTCCTTACAACAGAGGCCGTAGCAATGCCGCGGGGTCACGGTCATGGCCAAAGGCCAAGTGAGGATTCTGCCTGGCTGTGCCCTCTACTATGAAATCACACTTAACTCCGAAGGCCCGAGAGCGAAGAAAACCAGCAGCACAAAAGGCAACGGCTTCGAAGGGGCGGCGGGAGGGGTCAGTCTGGGGCCAGGGACAATAGGAGACCTCCTCTCCCGCTCTGTCGTCTGGCCCAGTAACAGAAACGATTTTTGTTTTCTTGACACCTCTAATGAAAATGTCACACGAAAATGAAAACCAAATGAAAATTAAAGAAAACCTGCAAGCTATTAAAATCTTGTTAGAATCCCTCAAAGGTTACATCCCTCTACCGTTCCTCCAGAATAATTCCCGTACAGACATATTTTTTAAATTAAAAAGCAAAGCTATTAGGTTGGCTTTGTACATAGCCTAAGAAAATGTATCGATGCAAATTACCACTTTAGTCTTACCAGGATGAAGAATAAACATGGCTTTACTTAAAATTCCCAGCACTCTTCTCAGAAGGTTATTGTAATAGATTGCGCCCAAGGACCAGGCTCCTTCCCGCGGGGCTGTTCATGCAAGTGGACAGCGGTGTGAGCCCCCTCCTGGAAGGGGCCCTCCCCCCGCCGCCGCCCGCAGGGCGCCCTGGGGCACCGGGCTGGGCCCCCAGCCCCGGCCCCGCGGAATGCAGGGAACACCCCATCGAATTCCCGCTTGATGAATCCCGGAAGTGCCGACCAGACTGACGGCTTGATTTCAATACACGAAAGCTCCCACGCGCCAGGAAGTTCGGCGCACCGGGCGGCGCGTTTCCTGCCCTGCTGCCTCAGTTCTTCTGGGGCAAGACAGGATCCGGAGCAGGGCACTTCCCGACGGGCCGTTTGGCTGGAAGCCACTCCCGCCTCGAAGCCTGGTCGCCGTGCGGACTGCGGAGGCGCGTGGAGCCGCCGGGCCGGGTGCAGCCTGGGCCACGTGTTGCCCTGGACGCGGAGTCTGGAGGGTCTCTGCCGGCCGCCCCCCCCCGCAGCACACCCTCACCAGGCCCTGCTCACAGCCCCACTGCCTTGCTCGCCGTCCTCCCCAGACCCTGCTGTTCTCTTAGGACCCGCAGCTCCTCCCAGGGGCTCATTAGGGGTTAAGAAGCAGCTCCCTGCCCCTCGTTGAGACCCTGACCGGAGCCCTGCCGTTTCTGCTCACGCGTCCCAGCCGTGCGGAGCTGGGCTGAAGGGAAGCAAAGAATGCCCTCTCCCAGGCCGCGAACACCGAATGGTTTGGCGGGCCGCCCCACCACCCAGCAGCGCGGCTGCTCTTGCTGACGGGCCTCAGGGTGCCCTCAGCCCGGCTCCGCGCGGAGAGGCCGTGGGGCCGCCAGCCGCCAGCGTGGAGAGGAGGCAGAAGCAGCGGAGGACAGAGTGGAAGAGGGAAGAGGGCAGAAGGAGAACCTCCTGCTCAGGGGCCCTCGGCACATCAGGGGAGAGGAACAGGGCTCGAGCCAGGACACGGCCGCTGGGGGCGGGACGATTCCGGCGGCTCCAACTCGGTGCCTCGGGCCACGGGGCGGAAGGCCCAGGTGCGGCTCCCCGCAGGGCGGGCGATTCCACCGGGATGCGGGAAACGCCGCGGGCAAGTCGATGCGCGGGGGCGATGATGGCGGGGGCGCACGGCGCCCTCACAGCTCCCGGCAGACACCGGCCACGGCCTCGTGAGGCTGGGTGGCTTCCAGGAAGACAACAACCCGCCACTGTCCGCCTCGGTGTCCGAAAGACAGGCATTCTCACCAGCCCGGTTTTGGGGTGGATGTGAGAGAAACCCCCAGGCGCACGTAGACCCCGGGCCACCTCTACACCGGGGGTCGGCCAACTCTGGCCCCCCCGACTACGTCCGCCGGCCATTTTTGTGAATAAAGTTGCATTGAAACACAGCCATTTCCATTTTATTCTTCTCCAAGACTTCAAATATCCCCCGCGGGACTCTGTGGGAAAGGCTGCGGCCCCCCCATCCCCTCCCTTCCCGAACGTTTGCAGTGACTCATCTTCCTCCCGTTGTCTGTACCTCCGAGCTTCCCACCTCAATGTCACTAAAACGCACAAAAGGGAAAACAAACCCATTCTGTATGAAGTTCCATGACTAAAGGGAAATTCAAAACACCCTCCCTACACACCAAAGAAACAAACCGAGGCACGCGGTTTTACCTGCCGGGACTGCACCGATAGACAGCACAAGGACGTTCAGAGAGCGACCACGGGCCGACCGGAACGTGGACTCGGCAGCGCCAGGGCCCTCCGACCCAGGCCTGTCCCCAGGGGCTCACCTTTGACATCGTTAAAGCTCGCTTCTGAGAACCCTTCGCTCAGGTCGATCAGCGTCCCCTCGGACTTGCACCGAGGGAGGCCGCCGGCGTTGGCGGCGCGGATCCGCTGAGCCGCCATCCTGACACGCTCCTCCCGGGGGGACCGCTAGGGCACCATCCTCCTCCCGCCGGTCACTCCGGCAGCGGCTGAGGCCTCCGTCTCAGGCGACCATGCTGCGCGAACGGGGTGCCAACCACGCGATGCGCTTCTTCCTGGAAGCAGAGGAAGGAAAAAATGTTCCTTGAGGAAGTGAAACGTGGGTGAAGTGGTAACTTTAAGGGAAGGGGGACTCATCCCCTTCCTCCCAGAGGCCATTCCAACACAGACGGACCCGCGTCACCTCCCGCGGCCCCCAGAGCAGAGCAGGCTCCCGCCGCACACAGCCCAGCGGTGTGGCCCGCCCCGCCGTGGGCACCCGGTCCTCCTGGGGCACATGAGGTTCGTGTCACCGGTCCCAGCGCCTGGCTGGCCCCTTCACTACCGTCGAAGAGGAGGGCGGCACAGGGTCTGCACAGGCCATACTGTTGGGGCCTCCGCCGGCCTGGGGAAGCGGCTGGTTCCGCTGCGGGGACAGCCAGGGCCGTGACGCTGGCCCCGGCTGTTCTTGTTAGCACGGGGCCTCTGTCGGGGCATATTCCCTGCCCACACTCTCCTGAAATTCTCCCTGGGCCCCAAATAAACAAACGCTCATAAATAAAGGCGCGAGGGGCTATTTGCTTATATAAAGTATTTTCATGAAACCTTCCATTTACTGAGCCATGGGGCCGCTAAGCGAGCAGGGGAAGTTTCTGTGAGAAGGAACCCAAGAATCGCTCCTGCGACCTCAGTCTGTCTCTGGGAAGGGACGCACGGGCATTTAGAGGGTCCCGGAGGCGAAGGTATGGGTGGCCGTGAGCGACCTTCACCTGCACTCAGGAAAGCAACAGCTAAGAGCCCGTTCCACAGCAGCGAGCGTCACCTGCCATTGGACAGGCCCCCGCTGGCCACGCCCAGCACAGCCGGCCCGCGATGCTCAGAGCCGAGGGCAACTGCGTGCAGGCGGGATTCATCCCAATGGAACGGGGTTCCTGTACCCGTCTTGCTTTTCTATCCAAAGACACCTTGAAACGAATGCAGCGTCTGGCCCGTGTGCCATCTTTACTAACCAGGGGGGCCCGGAGGCCTGCCCACCGCCCCTGTGCCCCGGGCTGTGTGCGGCGGTGGCTGAGGGCCCGTGGGGCAGCGAGCAGCTGCAGGCGGGCGCCCACACTGGGATGACCCTGTGCGAACACTGAGCTCCTCTAAGACTCGGCCTTCCCATCCATAACGTGGGTGACGAGTGTCCTGTCCCAAGTGGATCTGTGTGAGGAATTCATGACCCACATGGCATGCTCGGGACAAGGAGCAGGGCTCGTGGCTGCTGTCCCCAAAGCGGGGGCATCAGCAGCCCTGGTCCTCGCGTGGGGTTTAGCCCTTGCCCTGGAGACCCTGGGAAGGTGCCAGGCTGAGAAAGGGGCCTCTGGCTGCAGATGAGAAAAACGGGCGCAGCAAATGCCGTTGTCTTTGAAAGCTACTGACGCAGCCGAGGGGGTGGAATGCAGGTGGGCGGCGAGGAGAGGAGAGGAGAGACACCAGGAGGAGACCCACGGCCCTCGGAGTCCCAGGCAGACGGCCGCGTCCTCCGCAGAGGACGCGGGCAAAGTCCAGGTGGGTCGGGTTATCTGAGGCTGGGCAGGTGCTGGCCGATCGCGCACGGGGCACCTATAGGACACTGAGATGGCTCTCCAGGGGAGTTGGAAAGGTGAAGGGCGATAAACATGTCAGAGCGATCAGATCCTTGGCCTCTGCACCCCTGCCCAGCAAGCAGCGGGGCGGCGCCAGGGCGCTGCGGGTAGTCAGAACGAATCGCAGACCCCTGGGGCTTTTGGAGACTGATCACCGTTTTTGTTTGTTATTGATGGGGGAACAGAGGTATGGCCCAGAGCCCGTGGAGCGACAGGGAGGCTCAGTGGTCATAGAAGACCTGCAGTCCTTTTAAAGACGCAAAGATGCCCTCACGGGGGCTGCCATGCAAGGAACAGACAAGCTGCTAACAGCACAGCCCCGCCTCTTCTCCGCCGGGGCGGAGCCACGGCACCGAGGCCGATCCCCCACGGCAACCGGAAGCGGCACCATCACACTGAGCTGAGCGTCCCTGCGTGCGCTCAGGGCCCTGTGGGCAGTCCAGAACGGCAGCTTTGTCTACTGGCAGCAGGGACAGTCTTGAAAGGAAGCGTGGACGCCCACCAGTGCCTTCGTGGTGAGCACAGGGTGCCATCGCCATTTGGGGACATTATTTTACAGCAAAGGAAGAGGGCAGCCAGCCCCGCCGGGCTAAGCCTGGCGGACCCCCTCCGCCTGGCACCTCCTGGAGCAGGTGCCCTCCAGCGAGCGTCGGAGGGGAGCCGGGGGTGGGGGGTGCCCGAGCCTCCTGCCCCGGGGAGACGGCGGGAGGTGCTGCTGTGCTCTCCCTGGGTCTTTCCAAACCCGCCGGGTTCGGCAGGCCTTTGTGCAGAGCTCCCCTTCGCAGTCCGCCCACCCGCGGCTGCTTTCAGACCAAACCTCTCAGGTCTGTCACTGAGCTCCGCGCCCCCCCCCGCCCCCCGCCCATCAAGGGCCACGCTCAGGCCCCGCCTCTCCGTGCTCCCACACTCCAGCTTCTGCTCCTGACGGCCTCCCCTCACCTGTGCCCCCAGGAAACCTCTCTCCACCTCCTCCTGCCCCGCCCGCCTCCGCAGGGCCTTGCACACCTGCGTGACTCACCTGCTGGCCTCACCTGTGCATGCGGCCAACATCCCCAAGCCTCAAATTCAAGTCTCATGAGCTCATGTACCGCACCCTTCGAATCAGTCCTCACTTTATTACAAAACTACTCTTGGGAGAAACGACGTGATAGACAGGGAGAGAGCCACACATTGCCGACACGTGTCTGGGAAAGCAGGTGATGAATGTTCCCTAATATTACTTACATTTTTTTACCTTTTTATTGCAGATATTTAAACCATGTACAGAAACAGGAAAGTGGTAAAAATAATACATGAAATAGGAAAACAGCAAATAAATAGGGAAAATAGTATAATCTATAGTAAGTATAATGATGTGGTTATAGACTTATAAGAACATACGCCTGAGCAGCTAAGGACAGAGTCACCCCCAAAGCCGTCGGGGACGCACCTGTCTGCTGGGTGGACCCCTCAACAGCGCACGGTGGGCAGCTGGCCCAGGGCTGACGTATGTCCTGTGCAGGAAACACACCTGACACCTGAGTTGTCTGCGGGGGAGGCTGCTAGTGCCCGGGGAGGGCGAGCCCCTCCGACCAGAGCTGGATGCAGGCGGCTGATGGACTTGGGGAGAGCTGTGTCTGCTGAGGTCGCCGGGGGGCTCCCGGGGAGACGCCGGGAAGGAAGAGCGGACCCCTCCAGGCCCCGGACGGGCCCTGAGTGAGTTTCCACGCCCACTGCCTGGCTCCCAAGAACTCCGCTGGCCGAGGAGGGAGTTAGATATGGGCTTCTGTAAGATTCTGGGCAAGCTGACTGTAGAGAAATTCTATTTTGTTGAAAACTCTTTAGAATCAGGCAAGATCTTTTCAAACTTTGTAACTATTACACACAATTATTTTTCACCTTTACCCAAGGAAAAGTCACATCAGATAGAAAGGGAAAGACACGTGTTTGAGACCCATAGAGGAGCCTGTGCCCTCTGCTCAGGAGAGGGTGGGGGGGTCTCTACGCCACTAGATGCCGATCTCAGCAGCCCCCAGGCCACGTGCACCGCCAAGCTCTCAGATGTCTACATGAGTTTCCAGAATGTTCCTGCTGAGACTAACTTCCAAAAAGCAAGTGGGTCTGGAGATCCACTATGGAGACACGCAGTTCAGTCTTCACGCGATGCCCCGACCACGCCGGCCGGGGTGGCAGTGACCGAGGCGCTTCGGCGGCCAGCGAATGGGCACCAGGCAGTGTCAGGGAAAACGACGTCAGGGAGGGGGCACTCGGGTTGGCAGATGGACTTCGGGTTAAAGGGGTCAAAGGGAACTTAGGAATCCACTGCGACAAGGACGACAATAATTACGACGGCATTGTTGCCATCCAGTTCATCGGGCCTGAAAATCCAGATGTTTCTATGAGTCCAAATATTTGCCAAATTGACCCGAAACTTGCCACACCTTTCTGCTGTGGTGGAGGTGTTTCCACGGTGCCGATCTGGTCGCACGGCACGCAGCGCAGAGCGAGCGGATGGGTGCTGGCCCCCGTGAGCCCCGGGCCGTGTCCGGGCGTGTTTCCCACGGGCCCTGGGTCCGGACGCCGGCCACGTCGGGAGCGTGTTTCTCCTTCCGCCGGGAGAAGGCTACGCCCAGGGCAGTGGGTGGCGGGCTGCTTATTTAAATAAAAACTGAGGCTTCAGAGGTATTTTGGGAGCTACACCTGAGAAAAATCTCCTTCGAGGAGCCAAAATCACCCTGTGTCAAGTGCGCCCCTCCCCCCAGGTGGCCGATGTGACGCGGTTACACACAGCAGGCTGGGTTCAGGAACCCCACCCCATTCTGGAATCTAAGTTACAGACATGCTGAGCCACAAATGGGGTTACCTGGTGGCCTGGCCCCCACATTTGAACACCCTCTACGAGAGAGAGGCGGGACTTCCCCAGGGACCCCAGGCGTCGGCCACCTGTCTGGGGCAGCCTGCGGCGGCAGGACCCCTTGGTCAGGGCGGCACCAACACTGGCCCTCAGGACAGGCCAGAAGGGCAGGCTGTAGCAGCCACTTCATCACTCGTCCCCGTCCTCGCAGCCCTGGACTTGCCGTCTGCTCCCTGGGTGGACATCAGGCCCGGAAGACGGGAAGGGGAAGGAGAGCCAGCCTGTGTCTGGCTCATTGCTAGTGAGTTTCCCTTTCCTTGTAGAAAGGCCGCGTCATTGGGAGAGACGAGAGCCTGCTTCTAGCTCCGCCCCAGAAACGGGAGGGTGGCCTCCGAACAGGGGACCTCGCTGTGCACCTAGAGAATTGGATAGACTCTGGTGGCGAGCGCGGGCACCGCATGCAGCCCCTCAGCAGATTCCAGAAGCACAGCGCATCCTTGTGGGGGCCTATCTGCCAACGTTCTGTCCCAGGAACAAGAGGAAAACAACAGATCACGGGCCCCTCTCGGGGGAGGAGGCCCCGGGGACCCAGCGTGCGCAGAGCACAGCCCACCCG